AGTATTATATGTATACGGTGTTTACTAACGTATTAGTATTAGTATCTGTGTTAGTTAATGATGAATAAATAAATGAAAAGTATCTTCTTAAAACTCTATCTAACATATCCAAAAAGGCGTCGCATCGAAGTTCTTCTTGCACCCCGTCGGAGGTCGCCACAAGCATCGAAGGGGGACGAAGGGTTTGTACCATACTTAGGGAGACTTTGATGCACTACGAAGGAAACAGAAGGAAGAAAAGAAAAGGAAAAAGGAGTCGACGAACGATTCGTTCGTTTCGTTCGTCCCGTTTAGACGAGTTTCTACCACTATAATGGAAACTTTCCTTTATAACTATACCTAACCCAAATGTTTCCTGCAACCTAGTACGAAACCTAAGGATCTACTTTTAAACAGAACTACTACTACTACTACTACTACTACTACTTCATCGTTGCATCAGTCTCTTTCCTTTTTCATCCTTCATGGGCTAGTAATTTTCGATGTAAGAAAAATAAAATCCTAAGAAGACAAATCCCCTTATAATAAAATTCGACATAAACATGTTGTTCATTGGTTTAGTTTTATATCCTGCAAACTATGAAAACTATTTAATCATTTTTATTTAAATTTTATTAACTTGAAACTAAAAACTATCTCATATTTTTTCTTTCTTTTTTTTCGGAGCATTATTCAAAGTACATATATATATATATATATAAAAATACACACATACATAGCAAGCATAGAAATGTTCTTCCGGGTCATAGCTATTTCATATTTCTTGTTCTCGACGATATCTCTCTCTCTCTCTCTCTCTCTCTCTTTCTCTCTCTTTCTCTCTCTTTATCATTCCCTCTCTTTCTCATTTTTCTTTCTTTCTTTTACCCCTCTCTTTCTCTTTCTTCTTCAGGATTCGCGTAGGGTGTTGTTCTGCCTGCTGAGGGTGACTCCAAGGGGACTCGTGAAGGTACAAGAAAGAAAAAAAAGAGAAAGAAAAGGTTAGGTGAGGTACGCTGAGGTGAGGTGAGGTGAGGTGAGGTGAGGTGAGGTGAGGTGAAGTGAGGTGAGGCAGAGGGAAAAAAAAAAAGAGAAAGAAATGCTCGGGTTATGAAGGGAGAAAAAGAGAAAGCAAAGAGTGAATGAGAGAGTGAGTGAGTGAGTGAGTGAGTGAGTGAGTGAGTGAGTGACTGAGTGAGTGAGCGAATGAACAAGTGAGTGAGTGAGAGAGAAAGAGAAGAGGGGATAATTCCACAGCTAAATATCGGTAAAAATCAATACTATCTCTTTCCTCGGCACTACCGGCACCACCACCACCACCACCACCAACACCACCACCACCATCACCACCCAGTTAATAATGCAAGCCACGAGAGTTCGAAATTCGGAGTAGGTCTATGGGATTCTCTCGTTTCTTCTTAATTTTACTCAAGTATTTCATCTTAATGCATGATCGAGTCACAACAACAACAACAACAACAACTACTACTACTACTACCAACCCAATTATTTAACATTAAAATCTTTAAAAATATTCTAAGATAATCCTGATAATTTTATGAGACATTTAAATATTCTCATCTAATAAGAAAAAGAGAGAGAGAGAGGAAGAAAGATCTTTAGAAGTGTCGTCTTTGGTATCGTGCATTTCGTGCTCAATTAGCGTTCAACGAGTCCCTCGATAACCGGACTAAGGTAAGAAGAGGAAGAGAGTGAAGAAGGGGGATGGTGGAAGAAGAAGGGGCTAACTGATCTTCGAGAACTTTCTTCGAGTTAACTTTTTAGAGGTCGTGAACTTCGGCAAAGTAGTGCATGATCGTATCGTAAAAGTACGAGTATAATAATGCGGACGTTGTGTCGGAAGCAAGCAAGACGAGTGGGCTTGAAAAAATACTCTTGAGACTTTGAAATAAGAGAGAGAGAGAGAGAGAGAGGACATTGAGGGAGGAAGAGGTATAAGAGAACGAGAAAGAAAAAGAGAAGGAAAGAGATTATGAATGATCGATCATAAATTTGAGACGAGTGATCCTGGATTAGTAGAAGTCTTCTTCATGTTGATGCATTCCTGTTGTTAATTCATTTTTTTTTTTTTTTAATTTATTTTCATTAAAGATTAAAAATTTATTTAACTTGTGCATCACGATTACAAACAGCATCAATAGAAAAAAAAAACATAAACGACGGATAAAAAAAGACAATGAACCGGTGAGTTTAATTCGGTTCTGGATTGGACCAAGATTGATAAGGAAGGATGATCGATGAATATTGAGGAAGATGCTGCGAATACGAAGCACTCGTGTCTCGTCAAGGACAAGACAGCAAAGAAAGAAGAAGAAGAAGAAGAAGAAGAGGAAGAAGAGGAATAATAATAATAATAATAGTAATAATAATAAAAAAGAGAAGAAGAAGAAGAGGAAGAAGGTGGAGGAGGAGGAGGAGATAGAGATGAAGGTGGAAAGTTAGAGTAAAAGGAATATCCTGGGCGCAACTGGGAAAAGGGGAGGGAAGGGGATGTGGGGGGGGGGGCTACAAAGCGATAGTAGGAACGCTCGTGCTCGTCGTTTTCTCAAACGCTCTCTGGGTGAAACAGCGTGGAACCGCGGGTCGACCACGACCTGAGACAAACGGTAACGAAACGCACGCCGGAGATCCCGACATAGCGAGATCCCTCTACACGGTAAAGTGTAAACGGAGGTGGCAGACGCACGAGCAGAGTCGGCCCCGACCACCACCACCACCACCACCACCTCCACCACTACTACCACCACTCTACCACTACCACCACCATCGTCACCACCACCAACACCACCACTGCCACCTCTGTTCTCCTTCCCTCCTCACACGACCAGGGAAGACTGAAGAAGAAAAGAGAGAACAACCCAAAAAGCGGTTCTCAACTTTGACTCTTCTAATCCTTCCTTCCTTCTTGCTTGCTTCTTCAGTTAAATCATTTTCAAGATTCTCTCTTTCTATTAACGTAGATATTTTATCATCGTGTGTGTGTGTGTGTCTGTGTGTGTGTGGTATTATCTAATCTAATTAAATTCGTCTGAGATTATATTTCATTGACCTATGTTTTAAATTCATTCATCTTATGCACATAGATAGATAGATAGATTATCTAGATTTAGGAACGTGATACATATATTATCTATATTGAGAAGAATATAGAATACGATCAATACCATGAAATATATTTCGAATAATCTAATATTCTATGATATTTTATTTACATTTCTATTAGATGTCATCAATCTGATGAGACAATCCGTTTAAATTGTATATGTCGAATTTTAATAATGAAAGGATAAAGTTATAAGTTTACGCAGATCTAACACCATCAACACAACAACTAAACAACATCTAATAACGAATGTCCTTTCGAGATATCTGTACACGTGCCACGTTTAACTATCGATCGGTCAGTCACGACAGGACGATCGAATTTCAAGTCCTTGTCCGATGGTTTTCTACGACAAAAGAAATTGTAATGAAAAGATGTAGGTGAAGAAAACGAAGCTTTGCTGACTAACTAAACATCGGAACTTGATGATCGTATATAGAAAAGAAAAAAATGAGAAAGAGAGAGAAGTAGAACGGTCAATAAGAAATAATCTATTTAATGACGGGATCGAGAAAGCAATGAAAGAGAGAGAGAGAGAGAGAGAGAGAAAGATCATGAAAAATTAAAATACAGAAAACATGAGAACCGTCGTTCTTTCTCTCTCTCTTTCTCTCTCCCTCCCTCCCCTCCCTCTCTCCACAATCTCCTTCCTCCTCTAGCCCCTCTTCCCAACCGAATCGCTCTCTCACCGTAACACGGGGTAGCTAGGAGAGTTTAGGGAGAAAGGAGGGAAGGGGAGGTGGGTCGCGTACAGTAACGTACAAAAGTCCGCATCACCTCCCTTAGTACAAACCGTGCTAAAAATTATTACATTATTTAAAATAATAGCGATTTTTTTTCAACATTTTTTTCAATTAAATGATAATGAAAAATAATTCGTTTTTTTTTTATTATTATTTTTAAAAATACGTATGTATTATTATTATGTTTGTTTTCTACGTTATTTACGAGTTACATTTATATATATTTATATATTTGTTTTAGTACGATTTTAAAATGAACTATTTTTGTTGGGGAACAACACAATTTTCAAATAGACTAAAATATAAACGTAGAACGAATTCTATGGGATACCATAGATTAAGAAGAATGTGGACTAACCGGGATAGGTGCGATAAATAAACTACCTGGGAAACAATCTTATCTAGGAATATCCGCGCCTCTTGAAAACAACTTGCAGCGTCCTCTCGTGTTCTACATGTCGATGATATGCACCTCGACCTTCGTCCTTCTCCCTTTCCTCTCTTCTACTTGTTCTTTTTCTTTTAACTTCCCTCTTTTTCCTACCAACCTATCTACTTCTTTCCTCTTATCCTTTCCACCTCCACCATCTTTTCTTCCTCTATCGGAAGGACGAAGGAAGCCGCAATGACTCGCGTGAGCAAGTTAAAACTTGGAAGAAGGGGACTTCCGGTTAAGGACTAATTAAATTCGCGAAGAGTCCCACTCGCAAAGTAATTACACTATCCAATGAGACTTTCATCGTGTTGCATTATGCACCATCTTTTTATCGCACGTTCCGCCGGAACGGTAATTGCTACTCCGTATAACACTCCCCACATGTTGCCCACCCGAATCATAATCGCGTTACAATACCAGAAAATTTGAAGCAAAGGGAATAAAAAAAAAAGAAAAAAAAAAAAACAGAGAGAAAAGAAAATCAGATCAGTTAAGCTATAATTTTGTATCAATTAAAGAAACCGAGTTGAAACAGGTAACATGTATATATATATACATGATATTTCTCTTCAAATTTTCAATTAACATTTGATCCATAACTAAGAGTATTCTATGTATTACATATACATATAAATAAACTATAATATTAAAGCGATAAAACGTAGTATATGTCGGAAGTGTAATTGTTAATCTTACAAAAAAATGAAATAACACTCACCCTTGGTCCATTCTATCGACGGGACCACCGGGACCCATCATGGCAGGATGTCCAGGCCCCATCGGACCCGTCATGGGATGTCCTCCGGGTCCAAAGGGACTTCCAGGTGGCATACCATACTGTGGCCCGCCAAAAGGTTGACCAGGTGAAGAAAAATGAGGATTACTACCTCCTGGGGGTACGAACGGTGGACCGGAGGAACCGGGCCTACCGACAAACTGAGGCGGTCCTCCAGAGGGTGAACCAAATGGACTAGGTCCGGGCCCATTGTAAGGTGGCCCGGAATTATTAGGTGGAGGTGGAAATCCGGAGGAATTTGGCTGTGGTCCTGGACCAGGAGTCGACGAACCACTAGGTGCTGGAGATGCAGTGTACTGAGGTGTTGCTGAACCTGGTGGTGGCCCTTGATAAGGTGGCGCACCAGCTGGACTTCCAGCTCCACCAGGAAATGGGCTTGGTCCTTGAAAACCGGCATTACTAGGTGGCCCACCCGAATTATTATAAGGGCCCGATCCAGGACCTCCTCCTTGACCAACAGAATTAGGCGTAAAGGGTGATGCCTCCGAGCCGGGCGGTGGGCCCTTCCAGGAGGCTGGTGTCCCTGGATCCTCCAGCGTGGTGGTGGGTGCCAATGGCGTGTTCAGGCGGCTGCAGCCTGAAAAAAAAATATTATGCATGTTAATGGAATATTTTGTTATATGTAAAGACAATGTTTGGTAAAAGCAATCTCAAAACAGAAAATTTCCTTATATTATTTTTTTTATTTATTATATTATTTAAATAAATTTTTTTAATATAATTATATTAAATAATAATATAAAAATATATTAAATTATTTAAAATATATATTACTATATAGAAAATATGATGTTTCTATTAAGCGGTGTAACCATACCGCATGAAATGGGTAAGCGTACAGAATTGTTATCGGAGTAAAAATTTTTAAAAACTTCACTGCGTAACCAACCTATTAAGCAAATTATAATACTTTTTAAGCAATATCTTTAGTTTTTAGCATTATAAATAGTTTATTTCCATGTATATACTTTGCTATTATATATGTGTTCTATTCTTTCATTAAACAACCTTTACGCACTGACTGCGTAAGAATTTTACAACCTTAGCGTAGCATACTAAGGGTTACTTTATTACATATAACATTATTCTTTGATAACAAAACAGCATTCTTAACCATCTGATAAAGTATAAAACTATCAAGAAGGACACCGATACAAAATATATACAAGGTACATAGTCAGCGTAAACTTTCTATATGCTAACTTTCTACGCGTACTATCTAACCTGTATCCTAACTTCTACAATAAACAATCTACTATGGTAAATCAATGAATTAAAGATAAAATAGATATAAAAGCTTACCATTATTCGTCCCATTGGCCTTCATTGTCTTCTATTCCACTGATTCATTCCATAACACCAATCACACACTTTAGTAAGATTCAGCACAAGATTGAGAACAGTTGGTAAGAAAAAAAAAATGAGAAAAAAAAAAGGCTCTAATTAAAGAGCAATCGAATAATTAATTACAATATATCGTAAAAAGATAAAAATATTCCTTGTGAGAGGCTTAATAAAATATAAAAGTGAAAGGGTTATAGGTTATGTACCGGCAACCTAACCTCCAATATGTCGTAGGAGACCGATTAACGAATGGGAACTAAGTGCGAGTGCTCCCTTGAAATTCGCGCACAACACAGATCACTGTTCTATCGGCGTTCTCGTGCGTATGATAACTCTCGCGCGCGTACTATCCGGAAGATAATTAGATTCTCTAAGGTAAAATGTGGAACCGCCGTGTCTTGATCGCGACGCCGGCATCTTCGCGGTCACGCTTGTATTTCGTGTTGCTCATACGGCCCTCTCAGAACGTCCCGCACGAGCTCGCGCCGTAAAACGAACGCGGACCGAGCGAGGGACGCGTGCAGAGGCCCGACATCCCGCTCAAGTCTCATTCATCCTTGCACTGTAGAAAAAAAAGCGTTCATGGATTGACGACAGGCCAAAACACAGCGGATCGGAGAACAGCGACAACGGTGGCAGACGCGCACACGACGCGCACACAACGCGTTTACGCGCACACACTCTCTCACACGCACACGCGCTCTATCTTTCTCTTTTCTCTCTCTCTCTCTCACTCTCTCCTTTTCCTCCTTATTCTCTCGCTCACTCTCTCACTTTCTCTCTCTCTCTATCTCTCTCTCTATCTCTCTCTCTCACACACACTCTATATTTCTCTCTGTCGTAAACCAAAAGAGAGCGGCAGCAGAGCAACGGCACACACACGATATATATTACGATGATGATGATATCGAAGATACCACCAAAATCACAACAACAGATCACGATCAACTTTGACGAAAATTACATCGACGACAATGACGAAGGTGACGTGACCAAAACCAAGGATTACGCCGATCAACTACAAGGATGGCGTGCGCGGGGTGCGAGTGAGAGGGAACGAGAAGGAGAGCCGAGCGCGAATAAACACCACCGGAGTCAGTCACAGACGTACCTCTCTCTTCGACAGGGACGTGTGCGCCGTCGATGGCGCCACCGGTCCTCCCCCTTCTCTCACACTTCTCTTCACTTGCACACACACTCTCACTCACATCACTCACTCACTCACTACAATTCGTACTCTTTCTTCCTTTCTTTTTCTCTCTCTTTCTCACTCTCTCTCTCTCTCTTTATTTATTTCTTCTTCTTCTTCTTCTTCTTTTATTCCTCTATCGAAACAAAGTTTACTTCTCTTGCAATTATTATCACGAGTTTTTATCTAAAGCAAAGGGTATCACAAGTAAGTTTGAAAACAACACGATGAAGTATCGAATTATTTATATATTATTTGAAAATATATTTTAAATATATTAAACTCTTTCTCTCTTTAAGGTTTTTTCCTCGAGTATTTTACTCGCGAAGGTTTCTTTTCGAAGTGGTTCAATCGGTCGGTTCCGCACACACGTGCGCACCACTCCGTCGCCCGCGAGGAAATGCAGGTACGCACGTGCGCGTCAGGAACGTAGCAAGGCAATGATAAAATAGGGGAGAAGGGGGAAATACACGCACACACCTCTGATACGGACACCCAGACGTCGACCACGTGTTCGCTCTCTCCTTCTCTCTCTTTCCCACCCTATCTCTCTCACTGTTTCTCTTGTTCTTTGGTGTTGCGCGCTTTAGAGCGTCAACTAGTGGATGATCTCTTCCTTGGCCGACGAGAACGATCGTTGAAGCGTCGCAGGAGAAAGCGAAACTGTGCTGCCATTTTTATTGAGGCCGATGCATCGGCTGAGTCGAGCGCACCCCGCCCAATCCGTACGCACTATCACCCCCTACTCCTTTTCTTTCTGTTTAACATCTAATAGGGCAATTCTTTTCTTCTAGTATATTATCTACAATTTTTTTCATATAACACTTTTATATTGTATTAAAGAATCTTCTCGTTGAATGTTAATTAATCCTATCTTCGTATTTCTTTTTCTTCTTTTTCTTCTTCCCCTTCTTACGAAAAACGTTGAAAGAATAAACATCCTCGTGTTGAATAAGATGACGAAGAACGCAACGCAACTATTAGGCTCAATGTTTTTTTTTCAATGTAGATGAGTAAGTACTTGTTGTAACAGTGAAATCACTTAGGATAAAAGATGAGAGAGAGAGAAAGAGAGAGAGAGAGTAACGAAGAAGAGACGCGTTTGCCGCGCGATTAATTTGAACACCGTTCAGGATTATTACCGCGAACCCTCTCTAATTTCCGATCGATTAATCGAGAGGAGGAAAGTTTGGCGGTGTCGCCTGTTGCATGCGTGACCCTATCTCTCTCTTTCCCTCTCTATCTGTTCCTCTCTTCCCTCTCATGCTTCACTGTTCACTCTATGCCAACGACGAATTACGATGATTTAAATCGACGTCGCGTATATGTACAAGTGTATGAATAATAAATACGATACACTTTTGATACCGGTACCACTATTCACTTAAAAGAAGAAAAAAAAAAGAAAAGAAATATACGAAAGAACTTTTACTAAGAAATAGGGGAGAGAGAACAATTTATTAGGAAAATGATATGAAAAAATAAATACATGAGAGTTTACTGCCCCTCCCTCCCACGTGTTACAATATCCACCCCTCATTTAGGTGGTTTACGCTGATGTCGCTACTGTATACGGCCCTGACCGCGGACGAGGACGAACGGTTGGCGCAGCGGGGAGGGGGCACGGAAAAAGGGAGAGCCGGTGTGCAGAGGCACCCCCGATGGAACGCAACGAATACTCTCTCTCTACGCCTTTTTCCTTTTCACCAATCAAAGAGTCCTTACTTTTTCCCTACCATTTTTCTTTTTTTTATCAAAGAAATTCGTTACGGTGTTTAAAAAAAAATAAGAATAAGATTAAGATTAAGAATAAGATTAAGATTAAGATTAAGAATAAGAAGGATGACCAACACTGATGATCAATTTTACTGTTAATTATTTAATGATTTACAATTGGATGATTTGAATCTGAAGAAACGAAGATGGAGTCGTAAGTTTTCCGCGCGCGTAAGCTACCGCGTTGGTCGCCACATTTTTTCCCCCCTCCGACTACGACGACGACGATGACGACGCCGACGACGCTGACGACGACGATGACGACGACGACGACGACGACGCGCCACGGCCTTTCAAAGTCCTCCCTCGACACTCGCCGCTTGACAGTGTCACCCTAAAAATCAATAAGGGGTTCACCCCTCGGCCCTACCCACCCTCCTTGCGCCTTCTATACCTCTGCGCTTCCTCCTCCACTTCCTCCTCCTCCTCCTCCTCCGCTTCTACCCCTCTTTCTCACTCACTCTTTTTTTTATTTTTCTTTCTCTTTTTTTTATCTCTCTCTCTCTCTTTTTCCTGCGTTCGTTCGTTCGCTTTTCCTTCGTCGGACCAAGAACGAAGAACGGGGAGGGTGCACGCCAACAGGGAGGTCACGCCGTCCGGACGACTCCGTCATTCTATTAGCCAACGATACGTCGAGAAGAACCTAAGCTTAAACATTCCTCAACTTTTTCTACATTTTCTTTCATATGCGTCTTATTTTTTTTTTTTTTTATTTATTAAAATATTTTTTTTTTTTTTTATTATAAGAAGCAACCCTAGTAGCACAAAATATTGAGATTCAAAGTCTATCAATATATTTCAATATTTTGTGCTACTAGGGAATTATTATTATTCATCATAATTAAATATTACCACGTGTTACTTATTTATTTCTATTTTTATCCAAGATAAAGAAAAATAATATGTGGAAAAAGTCTTATATTATATAAGTTATAATAATACCTACCTTCGTGGAATAATAATTTGCAAGTATCATCGTCGTCGCGGTCTCCTGCTTTCTTTCGTGTTCCTTCCTCTTACGAATCGTTCAAATGGAAAGTATAGTTGCAGGTAGTAGTAGGATCGTGAAAGTAACCTTGGTTTATAACCACAAGAATAGTTACGTTACAACGAAGAAATATTCTTTTTTCTTTTATTATTTTTATTTTTATTAGAGAGAAATGCTATGTGTGACCACATATAACATTTCCTTTAACACGTTGAACGTCACGTCAGCCATCGGTGGCTGACACGTTCAACTATTTTTTTCAATACAAAGCAACGCCTTTGGCCTGACAGAAATTTCCCTAAGAATTCACGTGGTGCTGAATGTGTTAAAAAATAAAAATATATAAAGAAAAGGTAAATGAGAATAGACTAGAAAATACAAAAATAGAAAAGATGAAGAAATAGTTGAGAAGAATGATACACACATAGTATGATCTCTTTCTTAACATGCGAGAAAAGAGTTTAGAAAAGCGTAGCAAAGCGAACTCGCTGCTAGCAGCAAGGAGGAGCCTAGCTAGGTAGCTAGCATGGTGCATCTTATTCACCCACGAGTCTCAAGGACGTACTCGACGTACCGTCTTTGCATAGAAATGCGCGCCGTTAAGAGATGCTCGGCTACGCGAGAAAGAATCGTGGTGGCTACGGTCCTACCTACCAACCTACCTCCAACCTACCAACCTACCACCACCGTCTCGTTCGAGTTCTGATGCTTCTTCTTTGCTTTTTCTTCGAATCTCGAAATCTCCTTCCGTTTAAAAGAAGAGAAAATTTTTCATTTTCAAGAATAATAAGAATAAACAAATGATACAGCATGTGTACAGACAATTTTTATCTAAATCTATGATAATATGCATTTGCTAAAAAGTTAAGATAATGTTTCATCTATTAAGATACATATGGTTTTTTTGAAGCGATCATTTGACCGCTCATGGTAGGATTAGGTAGGCTTAGTAGTTAGTTAAGTAATTATCAAAAGAATAGGCCCATCAGAAATCCCCCAATTTTGTTTATTTATGATATATATGGGTGATGATAATTTAATGATTTGTATATTTTATATTAAATTAAATATCAAAGTGTGTTTATCAAATATCTTTTATAAATGATCAATACGCAGTAATTAGAATTTCAAATTAGAAATCTGATATGTGATGCAGTAAATGATATTATAGATCATCATTTACCAAATGTTATTCGATGTTCAGTATAACAGTATATATATATACTGTGTTTCATTTGATATGGCAACGTGAATTGATCGACCAATGGAAATGAAGACAGAAGTCGAGATTTGTCTGGTTAAAATCGGATTGGTTGGAAATAATCAACCAGGTTTAAAGTTAAAACTGATCAACATGGAAAACTGAATTTACAGAACAAGATACTTTACAGAAAATTAATACTGAACAGAGTTTAATGTTCATTTCACAGTTTACCTGAGTCAGTAATGGTCAACAACAGTTACTAAAACTTTGAAATGTTCAAATAAAGATTGATACTTACCTTAAGATTTGATACCGTGAATTTGGATTATTACAAACTTTGTATATTATCATGAAATTTAATATTGATCAATTGAAAATCAATTCAAATGAAAACAATTTTTTATATATACTTTTATTTTATATTTATATTTTATTTATATATTTTTAATTTTCTTTTCATATTGTAATTGTATTACTAATAAAAAACAAACTTTGATACTTCGTATTTAGTGTCGTTATGCATCTGGATCTTTGGTTATTAAAAAAATTGCTAGAAAAAGAAAAATCTATTTT